GCGCCCGACTAGCGCCTAGCGCCTTTTAGAACATTGGTCGATGTGCTGCAGCCTGTTCGGCAAGACAGAAGAGTGCAGCGGGCTGGTTGGTATGATCTCCAGTAGGACGCAGGGCGATTGGGTGATGTCTGCCAGAAGAGAAGAATTAGTAGGAAGCCATTCAAAAGGCAGCATAGGTGCCGGACCAGAGGATTGTTTGGACTGGGAAATAAGTTTGGAGTATGGAAAATTATTTTCATGAAATTGAACATCCCGACTAATATAACCACCCCCCACCCCCCCACCCCCGCGATAGGATCTAAACATTGGTAACCTTTATATCCCGTAGCATAACCAAGAAAGACGCAATGAACAGAGCGGAGTGAGAGCTTATTAGAAGACTTGGGAATTAAATTGGGAAAACACGCAAGAAAATTATAGTCCGGAGTTTTATTAAAGAGTTTTTCAAAAGGAGTTGGATTATTTAGTAATGGAGTGGGCAAACGATTGACAATATAGGTGGCGGTGTATAGTGCATCGACCCAAAAACTAGAAGGAATAGATGAGTCTATTAACATAGTTCTAGTTAGTTCAAGAAGATGCCAATGTTTGCATTCAACAACACCGTTTTGAGCTGGAGTATCTGGACATGATTTGCGAAATAAAATTCCAGATTGTAGAAAATGATTTTGAAAAATAGAATTGTCAAATTCACCCCTTCCATCACTTTGAAAAGCTTTAATTTTTCTATTAAAAAGATTCTCAACAAGTTTTTGAAAATTACAAAAATGAGTAAACACCTCAGACTTACGTCGCATAGGATACACCCAAGTATACCGAGAATAAACATCAATAAAAGAAACATAATATTTAAATCCTAAATTGGATAAAACAGGCGATTGCCAAACGTCGGAATGAACCAGTTCTAATGGTGAAATACATGAGTGAGTAACATCATGAAACAGAAGTCTATGGAATTTACCCAACTTACAAGAAACACAACTATGATTAAAATTACTAGAAACAGAAATTAAATTATTTTGCCGAAGTCTGTGTAAAACTCTATCACCACAATGCCCCAAACGTTTGTGCCAAGTAGGTCCGGAAACTAGGGTAGCTTGAAGAGCATGGAATGGGTAGAGATGTTCTTTATTGGAGCCCTGAAGATAGCTAGAGCTATCAAACAGGCCAACCCGACCCAACCCAACCCGGCCCGTAACGAGTTATGCTTTATGTGGGTTGGGTCGAGCCAACCCGTTTAATGACGGGCCAGGATTTCTACAACCCTAATCCAACCCACCTAACCCGTGGGTTAAACGGGTTGGCCCGCGGCCAATGTAAAAAAATATAAAACGAATTTTTTTTAAAAAATAATTACCCGGAAGTATATATTTATATTAGCAAGTAGTAACAAAGGAAATATAAGAAGTCAAAATACTAAAAATTCAATACTTGTTAAGTTTAATTAAAAATATTAAATACTAGTTATACGAGAATTTGAAAACTATAAAAGGCTATGCGACAAAAATACTCATTGTATAAAAATAAAGATTTACATAAAACTTATGATTAATTATTTGCAAATAATGACTACTAATTGTTAAATATTGTATCAAACTTCACAACAAATATACTTGTATGTTTCAACATTTTATTTGAATATTTATTATAGAAATAAAAGAATAATAGTTTTTTAATTGTAATTATAATAATATTGGTAGTAAAAGAACAATATTTTAGATAATAAAATTCAAAACTACATTTTTGTATTTTGGCTCGCGGGCCAACCCGCAACCCGGTGGGCCAACCCACTCAAACCCGCAACCCGCGTGGGTAGACCCACGAAACCCGCGAACTAAATGGGTCAGGAATTCTCAACACTAACCCACCAATAAATGGGTTTAAACGGATCAGCCCGCAGGTTTCAGCCCATTTTGACGACTCTACTTGAAGAAGATGCGCCCCCGTCTGATTGTCCTTAATAAAAAATATTTTTATTAAAAATCACCGTACAATCATTATCCGCACACAATTTATGAATAGATAATAAACTATATTTTAAGTGTGGGACATGATAAACAGAGTTTAAAGAAAGCGGGCGACTTGACGTGATGATGTTAAAGTGACCAACATGTGAAATAGGCAATTTAGTACCATTAACAACTTGCACAGAGTTGGGGCCAGTGTAAGGAATTTTACAATAAAAAATACCTTCATGAGAAGTCATATGAGCGGAGGCACCCGAGTCTGGATACTACACAGACGCATTTGTTTCGCCCGAAGGAAGAGCAGCTAGCGCCGGAGTAGAAGAACCAACAAATCTGGGACATGCAAGAGCAGAATGACCTGACGAGAAACATATCTGACAAACAACTGGGTTGGGAGGATTTGGAGAACTATGATCCACAGATGGAAAACCTGCACTAATACTATTAGTACCACAAGAAGATAACATTCTGATTTTTGCCGTTTCGTCACCATTTTTTTGTGATGGCTAGCATGTATATGTAGCTAGATGGTTTTTGTGTGGTGACAGGGCATCCACTTTGGATGACCCGTAGGGTTTTTGATATTGTACAGTTGTACATAAACATTTTGGATATATATATTTACAAGTTATCCAAAAACAAATAGTACCACAAGAAGATAGATTATTTAAGTATGAATAACCAGTCAAGACATTACCCAAAGCTGTACCTGGAAACCCAGTTGGAAGAGGACCACAAACTGCGTCTGGGACTTGCTGGCCGTGAAACTGCCCACACACCTGCTGGTGGACATGCAGCGGAACGGGGAGCAAGGGGGGCTGCTGGTTGTCAAAACCCTGATGTGGCTATCCACCATAGCCACGGCCGCGTCTACGTTTTCCACGACCCCTACTGCCACGATATCCTCGGCCTCCCTGCTGCCGACCGCCCTAACCACGAGCTGCCCCACCACGGTTTGGTGCTACGACAAATGCTTGGTGTGACGGCGAAGGATCTTGAGAACGGGGATATAAATTCCTTTGTTCTTGAGCAATTAAAATTGGGCACAACTTTTCCAGTGTAAGATCTCCCGGTATGTAATTAACAATTGTGATTAAAGATCCAAACTTGGGCCCCAAATCAAGAATAGTGTATTCAATTAAATCACGATTGCTAACTAGAGAGTTAATAGCATTCAAGGCATCAACTAATAATTTAATTTCCAGGAGATATTGATCAATGGTCTGAGATTCCTTCTTTTTAATGTGGGACAAAAGGCGCTTAAGCTCCATAGAGCGAGCAAGACAGACATTCATAAAGCGAGTTTGAAGGCATTCCCAAATTTGAGCAGAAAATTTCAGATCATAAACTTCCATTAAAATATCACGTAAGAGAGTAGCAATGAGCCAAGATCGTACAGTCTGATCAATTTTGAGACAATGATGATACTCAGGGTTGGGAATTTCTCGCCGAATAGCATCACATGTAAATTGTGGCGGTGCCAAAATTGAGCCATCTAGAATCCCAAAAAGACTGTGGGAAACTAGAAAAGACTCAAATTGGGTACACCAGGGGAGATAATCCTCAACTGCATTTAATCGAGTGGTGACAATATTCGGAACGTTGGGTGTGGAAAAACCCAATTGAGCCGCCATGGAAGCTAAAGAAGAAGTTTGACGGCATGGAAGCTAAAGAAGAAGTTTGAGAAGCAAAACCTGGAAGTTGCAAAGTTGGTTGATGCGGTACTGGACCAACCCCCGGTTGGCCTGAAAAGGTGGAGCCAGAAAAGACGGGAGGCGGTGGAAGTTGTTGATCCAGGAGAGACCGAGTTCCGGTGAGTGGAGCTGAAGAAGATGCTGCCACAGGGTGAGGTGGAGTCTGAGTCCATGAAAAAGGGTCTGACATGTTGAACAAACGATACATGGACATGGAAGGAGGAAGAGAAACACCAGAAGAACTGTGATGATGCACCACCGGCGAAGAGAGAGACGAGGAAGAGGACTGCTCTGTGAAAACCGTTGGGGCCATGGTCATCACGGGGTTGGATGAAGACATCATGGTGACTGACAGTGGCTGCTCGGAGAAGGAAGCCAGCGTCGTGGTGCTGGCAAAGATGACTAAAGAAGCTGCGGACGTAGAGGCCATCATGAGAGAGAGGTGGCGGCTAAAAAACTAGGGTAACCTAGGCTGTTGATACCATATGAAATAATAATGATGATAATAATGGCTCACCCTCATAGGGTGTCCTGATGGTGTATATATAATACTCCCTCCGTCCCATTTATATTGTCCCGTTTTACCTTTTCGGGACGTTCCACTTAAATTGTCTCATACTATATTTGACAAAGTTTGTGTAGCTCTAAATCATTCTTACTTTATTCTTACTTTATCAATTAATATCAACCACACAAACCCACTTTTCTTAATAACCGTGTCACCCTCTTCCGGGACAATGTAAATGGAACGGAGGTAGTAATAAAGAATATGGAAATTACAAATATGGCCTAATACTATAAATTAGTAGGACCTACATATTTTTTTTAAATAGAAGGGTTCTTTGTGTGGAGGAGCATTCATGTCAAAGTTTTACTTATATAGCTGAACAGTGTGATTGACCAATATCTAATAGACTAATACGGACCCGGACCAGGCCGGGTCCGGGTCGGGCGGTTCGGAATTGGTGGACCCGGGACCGGCCCGGGTAGCCACCCCCCCTCACCCCCCACCCTCCAAACCCCTCGGTCCCCTCCTAACCATCAAGCCCAACCCGGGTGGAACCCCAAAAAATGAAAAAAAAAATCAATTCGGCCCGGACCCAGGCCCAAACCGGCCGGGCTGGTTCGCCAAATGTAAGACCTGAGCCCGGACCCGCCCCCCTACCGGGCCGGTCCTGGTCCCGCACAGTAGCGGGCCGGGCCGGGTGGCCCAACCCAAATCCACCCCTATACGGAGTATGGAGTAAAAACACAATGGACTAGACATAGAGACACTAAAAACACTCCGTATTAAATGTGACCAATAGGTTGGTTACTAAGTCTATAATATACTAGGATAGGATTAGGAACATAGATGTTTCATATTTGCATCGCATATCTTGAAATGTCAGTTTGTAGATTTTTGGCAGCTTCAATAAATTTGCTCTTTCCCCTTTTGACAATTCATTCATGGAGAAACACACATTATGTGAGTCACATAGCTTAGTTTTTGGGGTCCCAAGTCTATGTTGCATTTACAATTGGATAATCACAAGCATTTGTTATGGCAATTGACAAACTAAAAAAAAAAAAAACTTTTGTGGGAAGTAAAAACCCACTGCTTAATATTATCACCTTTCTTCCTCCTCTCTGATCAGCTTCTCCCTTATGGAAACTTAACTATACACAAATCTTTTCCAGAACTCAAGGCCAGCGTCAGCGTGGCTAATCATATAATCCTTCTTGCTCCCATACATCCACAAGAAAATCAACCATTTCCTGTCATGCCAATTGTACATGATTATGTCTGAGAACTTTATGTAGAGAAGGAAACATACATATAATATTGCTATTAAGACCTGAGTTCTGTGGTCAACATCATACGAGGTGCAACACCACTCTCAAGATCAAACATTTCATATGGATCGTGAAATTGATAATTTTTCCCATCCGTTCATGTATCATCATCGATTGTTCAGTCGTCGATTGATGATAACGGGCATCATTTTTTTTCATTTGGTTTCATTGGAGGCCACAACATGACTATATAACAGGTTGGCTCTCATATCATATTAATACCTAGAATTCTCATCTTAAAAGTAAACTGGATAGAATGAGTAACATGATATCTTATGAGTTGGTTTGTTATTTCATATTTGACTAGTGTTGAACAAATCTTCAACACCTGTATATTGAGACTTATGTTCCAACTTCCAAGTCAACCTAATATGAGAACTAGCACAAAAACTCTAAGTAGGTTTGTATTATTATTATATACTCCTTCCGTCCCGCTAAGATTGTCCCATTTTACCTTTTCTGGAAATCCCACTAAGATGGTCCCATACCAAATTTGGTAAAGTTTGTGTGGCTCTAAATCATTTTTACTTTATTTCCACTTTATAAATTCAATATCAACCACATAAAGCAACTTTTCTTAATAACCGTGCCACCTCCTTCCGTCCCAATGTTAGTGGGACGGTGGTAGTACTTCCTTAATTCTTGCAATTCTTGCAACATTGTGATTTTTGCACTATTCACAAACCTTACTTTGACCATGATTTTCTACTAATATATACTAGTATAATCAAATTATTACGTATAAAATGATTGAATTCCTAATAATGTGAATTTCCAAAATATCAATTTTTTTATAATATTTACTAATACATAATTAAATATAATTACAGTCAAAGTTGTGCTTTGGCAAACATGAAAGTCAAACTGTTGCAAGAATTAAAGAACGGAGGATCTTATATTTTACAAATGTGATGGCTTCACAATGCATGCATATATCTCAAACGCATATGATACAATGGGATTCTCAATTCTGGGAACTTACTGCGAGAGGAATTGGACGAGGAAAACACTTGTTAGTGCCAAGTAAGCTTTCATAGGTAGCATTCCAACTGAAAATGACAGATTTGGAATAATATTAGTAGGAATTTACAAGATGGAAAATACTAGAATGCACCTACTAATGTTTGCTCTGCCATCTTGAACAACTAGACATCAATGACGAGTTATAAATGCGAATTAAACAATAAAAGAACAATATCACAAAATTAAAAAAAAAATCAATGTTTGCCTCACTAGTATTAGGCGATTCTAGTTCTTTGTCCATGCTTTTTATTCTTTTCACTTCTAGAGAATGATAGGGACTACGAATAACTGGAAATGTGCACCAAACGGGCTCTATTGTGTATCACATTGGGTAAATTGTGAGTGTTCTCACGTTCTCACGTTAAGCATCATTCTCATTGGAACCGCACCATATATATAAATATATATATGAATTCTATTTCTTGTCACCTCAGTTCGAATTTCGAGAGGCCATGACTACACTGAACAATAGAATCCTAAGACAATGCGACAACGCATTCATTAAACTCACATAACATTTTCATGCACCAGAAGAATCAAAAGTAGCAAAAAATTCTTACTCACGCAGCAAAAATTGAAAAGAAGGAACCAAAAGTGCGGATAACTAAGTAACTTAATAGTTGTGTGAACAGGAGCAAAATTCTTTTACAAAAGAATTCATCTTGATTTTTTAAGGGAGCCATCTAAGCATACTAAATTGCCGATGAGTTTACTCGTGCATTTAATAATGTGGACACATTAAAATATGCTCACAAGTTCTCCTTATAAGAATATGCATATGAGGTTCTCACTTTAGTACTGGCTCCAGAACTTTTCTTTTGGTGTCCGGTTCTTTACTTCGAAGCCACTGAAGCCTGGTTTGGTTCCAAAGAAGATATCCTGAAACTCAGCATAGATGTTAAAATAATGTTTGTGAGGTGTTTTTTTTTTGGGGGGGGGGGGGGTTACAATATTACTAAAATAAAAATTATAGACAAAATACAACTACAAATCTCCACAGTCACACAATAGCACCATAGGTCCATAATCACTGCGAACTTGATGGTTTTTTTGTGCACTCATTTTACTTGAGTCATATGTTTGTAATTTTCTATCCAATCTGAATTGAGGAAAGGTTCCGAAAATAAAGAGAACTTGCCATGATTTACAAATTCGGGATGGTGGCTAGTGTTTCCTGAGCCACAACTCTGGTCATTGGTCGGATTAAGCGGGTTTGAAATACTGATAGATGACAAACTTCTTTGAGATTGAGCAGTGCTGTTTTCCATCTCAATTGTGCTGCTGCTCCAGAAATCTTCAGATATGCTATTACGCCTTTTCACCAATCTCCCTTGAATTCGAAGTCCTTTTGATGGCTCATCCACTGCTGTTATTGGTCGAGATTTTCCACAGCAACCAAAGCAACCACTGCTCTGTTTCATTCAAGTTTATTTGCATACACAATACATAGTGACAACAAGGTGTATGTCTTCATGGTTAATATACCATGCATTTTCTAAAAAACTAAAAGGGAAAAGGTGTAATATGCACCATAGGCAAGTATTATTTCTTAATATGCAACACTTTTGATTTGCTATTCTAAATTATGCAATAAATAACTTTTTCTTAATAGGTACTCCGTATTTAAACTTCTTAATATGCACCATCGGTGATATGGACAATATTAGCGGGACGGAGGGAGTATATTTTAGTATATTTTTGAATAACTAACAGTATAAGGTAATAAGTTTTGACCCCAAAAGTCAAAGTGGAACAGCAATTTGGAATGGAAGGAGTATTAAATTAATTATTCTTTGTGACTTTCATATTTGATTAGGAAGCATTAAGGACCGATCTACACCTAGAATCAAATACTAAGGGCATAGTTACATCATTTCCCTAATTTCAGTTTTACAAAAACTCAAAACTCCGGCCTAGACTTGTCTAGGGGACATTGCAGTTAATAGATATGCATTAATGACCACAAATCATCTTCATGTTCTTCATATTCTTTGCACACTAAACTCTCTCTCACCTTTGCACACAATCAGAGTTCACTATATGCTTCCTGATTGCTCATCATATTCTAAATCTTATAAAGAACATATCATATTGCACCGTTTCATACTCAATAATAAACTTGAGGAATAATTCAGAGATGGAGAGTGCTTTAAAGGTACTCTTCTGCTTGCTGTTTAGCATTTGAAATTCCAATTTCAGTTTCAGAACACAAACCAATAGAATACATAATTCACATAGCTTTTCCACTATAAAATTTAGTCCTCTGACTCCTCTCTAGCCAAAATGCCCCATAACTTTTCCAAGGAAAATAAATATGAATGATTAATTAACTAAAAAAACATGACCACAGCTTGGGTAAATCTGGGCATGAATTCACTCTCTGCAACTCCTCTTCTACATATTGTTTAAGTTTTCACTACAAGTGCATACTGTTTTATTCATTTGTCAGAAAAAGAACCTTAAATTTCATGATCCATTCGTCAGTTTTACATCTTTTCACTGAAAATAAAACATGAAGAATATTCAGCCTGCTTTACCCATAACTATTCAGATTCTCATAAACAAAGATTCGTTCATTGGCAGACATGACAACCTCAACTCAAACATCAAAAGTTGCGACTATTGATGATATTCTGTTTGGAATTTCTTTATTCTTCCTTATATTCCTCTCCCTGGTTTTGATTCTCTCAAAGATTTAATATTGTCAAACTTAGCTTTTCCTGTCATACATCTTTTATATATGCTTCCACTAGCTAAGAACTAATTCACACAGCTTTTGGAAAATCAATAACCTGTGATATTTCACATTGCTGAAATTGATTCAGCAACCATCCTAAATTCCCAATAAAAAAAAGAGTGCCTTACCAACTAGAGTTTTCAAAAAACACTAACTTGTGAATGAACAGGCTGATTAAAAATGCTCAAGATCTTTTTTTGCTAAACAATTGAAAGTGACACTTCTACTCTCGTTTCAAATTATATTATTTATAATTCATCAATCTTAGTGATATAAATCATAATATTATATCAGCCACAATTTCAGCAAATTCAACAACTTTAATCATATACAGGCTCATATAGTTTACCTCTTATATCTTAAAATATCTGATCTGACGTATAGGCTGGGAACGAGCATTTTACGTTGAATCCTTGATTAATGAAATAAAAATGGCTAAAGACCTAAAATAAAATAAAAATTCTCTCTTGCAAAACCCATTAACCCCTTTCCTTAATTACTCCGAGATCATATTAGAACTTAAATAGATGAAAGAACACCACATTAATTGCGAAATTATATATTACATCCATTCTCAAATAGTTACAACAATAGAAATTTTACACTATTCACATGCTCTACTTTGACTACACTTTATTTACTAAGACATTAAAATTTTCATTTTTAAAAAAAATATTAGAAGATTCTTCTCATTTAAAATTTTCAAAATGTGATCTTTTAAAAAAAATTACTAATAATAAATTAACTATATTGATATTTAAAAGTTGTGCAGATCATAAAGTACAAAAGAAAGAAAATGTTGAAGTGAAATCTGAAAACATACCCCATGCAAGCAAGAAACTGGTTGATCCAAGCACATAAAGAGCTGTACAACATCATATACAATATATCCAGCTGCTGCAGATCATGAACCCATTGAAAGTACTTGAAACCTTCACCTCAAACAAAATAAATACTCCTTAGAGATTAGTAGTCTGTAGAAAAGAGAAATCAAACCCCAATCTGTTTATCCAGATTTTGAAATAAAATTTGACATCTTTGTGACATATCACCATATACATACTTGTATAGGAGTAAGGACAGATATCGATATGGGCAATCAAATGATATGCGGAATTTATGAGAGGCAAGTGAGTTGTACCTGGGTATAATTCGGGATTGAAGTGGAGTGGGCGATAAGCGCCGTCACCACAACTATAAACCTCTTCTTCTGTGAAATAATTATCAGGTGATGATTTGTTAGGGAAGTGAGCATTTATTTACGGAGTATATCATACTCCCTCCGTATCAGATATATCTTCCCACTTCTAAAGTGGGTGAGATTAAGAATAGTGAAAGGGGATATAAATTATTGAGGGTATGATGGGAAGATAGTGAAATAATGTGATGGAATGAAGGATAAATCCAAAAAAAGTAGGTGTAATAGTGTATTATTTTTTAAATTATTGAGGGTATGATGGGGAGATTTAGAAATGGGAAGATATAAATGTTACATCTAAAAAAGGAAAGTGGGAAGATATGAATGTTACGGAGGGAGTAATTTATTATTTTTATTTTTACTCTATTTAAGGAAATCCTCCGAAAGGGAAAGTTATATAAACATGAGGAACACTATTTAGGGAAATTCTCTAAATTGCTAAATAGAATTGTTTATTCTTTTATTCGGAAATATGAGGAACATCTATCATAAGGAGTAGTACTTATTGTCAATTTGTCATTTTAAAGTAATTATTGTCAAAATAATTGCAGTATTGGACCATTGGGCATTAGTACAATAGTATTTACTGTCACTGATGGGAGTAATTTTCAACAATGATAGTAACGATTCTTATTTCGAAAAGAAAAATATAGCAACCATATTTTAGAATTTTGGAAGGTTTTTACTTCTATTTAAAACAATTTCTCTTGCAAATTACATGGAACCCTCAAGGTACTATACTTTGTTCACTTGAACCAATTAAAATTTTGTTGGAAAATTTTAACATAACTAAATTAAGAAATAGTTACTTGGACTAATCAAATTCACCATAGGTATGATGGTAAATTATATCCTACGATCGATTGTACCTTAGCATGGTACAACCGTACAATCAGGTGTTTTTCGGAGTACTGTCCTACGTCGCTCGTGAACATTAGTCGCCGCTCAGGTTGTCCGGCCGCTATCTACGTCGTTGAAAGGTCGTCGTTGAGGTATTGCCAACTTTCGCAGATATGGAGGTGCAATCTCGCCGTTTCCGGCTACCTCTAGATGGGTTCTAGCCGTAGCATAGAAGGAATTCACAACTCCCGCGTCTGGTTATCCTATTTGAGGTGTGCAGAGAAAGAGCTCAAGCGGATTGTGGACTTAGTTAAGTATGCTCATTTGATATTTGTGTAATATCCATGCATATGGTTGTGATGCTCATTTTAAATTTTTCGATGTTCATTTCGTAAATTATGTATGTGATTGAATATTTGAGCAAACTAGAGATTTTAAATAAACTTTTTGAATTTTTGGATGCTCATTTCCTCAGTAATGTATGCTCATTTGATATTTGTGTAATGCTCATTTTAAAATGTCATATATATGCATATTTTAAAAGTATAATATAATACGGAGTACTAGATTCATATATTGAATTCATACAAAATCATTATAGATATATTTTAATAAATAAGAAAAAGAAAGTGAATTGAAAGATATGAAACAGATATCACAATGCTTAATGTTTGACTTCTAATACTCAACGTAATAAGTCTGATGCTCACTAAAAAAAGTGCATTAGTGCTCATTTAACAAAAACTGTGATTTTGCACTTAAATTACGAAAATGTCACCGACAGTATGTGGTGCTCATCGCACAGTCGATTTCCAATTTTTTTAATGGGTGACATAGCATTCACTTATTTTATATCCATTTATTCAAAAGAGTTCTCACAAAGACAATTTGAAATTTCACTACTGTATTTTCCTCTATCTTGAATCATCCAGTCATATATTTATGTAACAAACATTAATATGATATGATCAGTATCATAATTCATACCACATGCGCCCCTAATTAAATTTGGTACATGAGGATTCATGTACACTTAATAAATAAGAAAAGTGGATTCATGTGTCGTTCATATTGAAATAATAAAGCAAATACGTAGTATAAGATAAGAACAATATATAACAAAATAAAAAAAAGTACCAAATTTATATGGGAAGATCTTAGTGGGGTGGATGAAGTAATATTTTCCTAGTACCACAGGTCAAATGCATAAATGGTACCTTAATTATTGGTACTGCTGCGTTTTTGTGCTTCAACTCTTAAATGAATCAAATCAATACCATAACCATACATAAGTGTTTCAGTTTGAGAAATTATTCAAAGTTTTGACCAAAAAATCATACGTAGGCGGCTAGAGTTCTATGTGTAAAGCCCACTTACACTTACTCTTGTCCATGTCATCATTGTAAGGTGACTCTATACATGAAATTTTGATCGCCATGTATGATTTCTCGGCCATAAATTTGAATAAAAGTGGCAAGTTGAGACATTTATTTATAGTTGTGGTGCTAATTGTGTGTGTGTAATTTTTACTCATATTTAGGACAATTTCTTTTAATTCAATAAAAGAACTTGTTGTTGTATGTTATATTCATTCATTTAATTACATTTGGATTCTTAGAGAGTAATATATAGTTGTCGAAAATTGTATATTACTACAAGTTTACTATTGTAATATCACTACAAAAAATAATGAAATTGTTATGAATTTGATACGAATCTCTGAAGAGGATTCATCAAAATACATAAAGAACTTGGCATGAATATGTCAAATATGTGCCAAACTGCCAATCCGTTTATTACGAACTACTGTCTACTGGGCACGGAGCCATCGATCAATCTGTGTCAATCCCATTGTTCTGTAATGATAATTAATATAGTCGAGAATTAGTAATTGTTACAAGTATAATACTACCTCTATCCCGAAAAGATTCGTCATATTACTTTTCTTCGTCATTGATGGCGAACTTTAGACAGTGATTTTAATTATTATATTTGTATGAAATTTATCAATTTTATACTTTAATGAAAATATTTTGAATAAAGAACATTTTGATACAATTTGTAAATTCAAAATATTTTTTGTTAAAAATATCATTGATCAAAGTTGAATATTACGTAGTATTAATCAAGAAAAGTCAATTTAACGAACCTTTTCGAAATGAAGAAAGTATTATTAAATGCCTTTAGTCTAATCATAAATGTGCGGATATGAGTTGGATGACTCATTAATTATAAAAAGTGGTGCCCAAACATAATACTCCCTACTATCTTTGTCCCTTAAAACTTGGTCGTCTTTGATTTTTCAAGTCAATGGTGATAAAGTTAGAACAAAGATTGTAATCAGTATAATATTTGGAAAATAAATTTATACTTTTATGAAAGTAATTTTAACAAGGAATATTTTCATGTCATTGTTATATTATAAATAACTTCTTATAAAATTATACAATTGGTCAAAGGATGTAGTCTTATGCTAGTGATCAAGTTTTTTTTGTCAACTTCTTATAAAATTAGACAATTTGTCATTACTGACTGTCTTGACAAGCAAAATGACATTACAATTTTTCTTGTGAAATGCTTAAAATGCGGTATCAAATTCACCTTTTACAGTTTCATGTTTTCACATTTCAAGTACAAAAAGTGTGTATCTACCATGATTCTGACTCGCGCAATCTAAAGAAGTGCTCCGTATATTTTTTTCCTGTGGTAAAAGTTCCATGAAGTCATGAACTGAAAGTGCCCAGCCTCAAAGAGAAAAGGGCCTCCTAGTTCTAAATTGTAACCAGTATGATTATTATACAGCCAAAATTGGATAGACAAGAAAGCTAACTTTGGATGCCAGCATATAAAACGTATAGAAAGAGCTTTGAAGTCCTGTTTTTATTGGAGGACTAAGAGAGTTGAGAAATTAGTGATCAATTGGGTCAGACTGCAAGGCTTTCTGGACAAGTCTCGCCTGCTCTTTGACATGAACCTGTAGGAAACCGGTAGCAGTTGAAGCAGAAGGAAGGCGACCCACGTATTTGATGTCGTCCATGTTGCCTCTGCCAACTGCCTTCATTGCAGTACACAGGCGGGGTGCGACATAGTAAAATGCGCCCATGTTCATCGGCTCTTCCTGGCACCAAACTACCTCTGCATCTGAAAAAGCCAGAAATTAAAAATGGATTACCTTTGTGCCTTGAAAGAAATACTTGCTCTCTGGTTGAATCAAAAGAAGACAATTTACACCTTTCATTTTCCCTTCCCTCTTTTGCACCAAGCAAAGAATAAAAGGAAAATGTGTTAAATACTAATGCACATACTTGGATAGCGCTTCAGTTCACGCTGGACAAGGTCATAGGGGAAAGGACAAAGCTGTTCAACCCTACAAATTGCAATATCCGTGCCATCACCTTTTCTTCTCCCTTCATCAAGCTCATAATAGACCTGAAACAAGTGGGGACACAAATATCATTAAATTGCATTCTGGAGAACCAATATTCTAAAAGCAGCTGGTTTTCTTTCCATTGGATTCACAAAGTGCTAGTCGGGGTTGGCCTGCATCCTGCGCCTTTCCTCTTTTATTTATTTTTCAGTTTTATGTTTTACAGTTCAGTTTCTTGAAGAATATTTTGTATATGTAACAGAAACAACTCATGTACTTCCTAAATGTTTAAGTTTTTTTTGCCAAATATTACATAATAGAATAATTAAGAGAAAAATAAAAAGGGAATAACACATTTGTGTTCTTCATTTATGTACTAAAATAATAAAAAGTTAATAGAAACAAAATGATCAATAATTGAACAATGTCAAGTAAAACTGAATGGATGGGGGCAAGACTGGGACCCAACTGGCAGATTAGGTCACCTAAGCATTCACTTATCTTGATTTTTAGTGATGAAGTTGATTATGGTGAAAATGTTCATTTGGAAACACGCATCTGAAATCAGCTAGAAATGAACTTTTATAAAGAGAATAAATGCAAAAGGTGAAGAGCACTACAGACCTTTCCAGAGCAAAGAATCAATCGTCTAATACTTTCCTCGCGATCTGAATGATAATTCTGGTCTTTGATGAGGCGCTTAAACCTAGTACCTTGTTTATCAAAACCTGTGTGGCCTTGGACATCATCAAACTCGGATAGGTTAGACTTGCAATCCTTGTGGCGAAGCAAACTCTTTGGTGCCATCACAATTAAAGGTTTGCGGAAATCCCTGTGTAGCTGAGATGCAATACATAGTATATAAGAATATCACATAAACAAAGTTTAAGCGCTTACTTGGTCCAAAAATATTACGTTTGTATTCAGTCAGAGTGGTGAGGGATTTTGGATTTTGAAAACTATGTAGATATATGATCATCATCCTCATTACCCCAGTGTCGCAAAGGCTCCCACCTATGGTGGGGTATGATACATATTTGATATAATTTGCATTGTAATCAGATATATATAAAAATCTACGTGTATAACAATAATAATAAATAATGTAGACCATTTTTAGAGTTACAAAGGGTGAAAGGATTTAAGAAAAAATAACACCTACAAAATCCTCCGAATCAGAGAAGTGAGTTATGAGGAGTTTGGTGAATTTGTAAGCTCTTCAATGCCCCCCCCCCCCCCCCCCCCCCGCTCCATCAACCCCAAGGCCCACGCACACTAATCACTTTCCCTCCTCTCCCCTCCCATGTGAAATCCTCAAACAAAACAAAGTCGAACTATTTGTTTGATTGGAGGAAAGGGGCAGGGAGATGAGTGTGATTTCTACTCAACTTGTTTTCTTTTAAAAATAAATTAGATTACTTCTTAGTTCCCATCTGTTTACATTATATCCAAAGGAGACTAGGAGAGAACATCATAACCCTCTATAATTCCCTCCCATTCGAAGACTTCAATAATTTCCCGGTTTTCCCCTCCCCTCCATTATAATAACCTCTCTTCATTTATTTTACTGATCTCTCCCCCAATTCAAACACCCCGTAAAGATTAGGAAGTCTCTTAGCAGCACTTACTTGTCGTCGGAGCACATGGAAATAATTTGCAGGAGTAGTTACATTCACCACCTGCCAATTGCATTCTTGAATCTGTTTACGAAGGGTAGGGTCCATCTCGGGAATAACATAAGGGTTGTCATCGCTCATCTGTATTCATGATTTATGGGATGGTATTAATGAAATTGCGTTAATAACGTGCACAGATTAACCACACATGCACAAGCAAGGAATTGATTAGGAATAGGTGTTGTTGACACATCTTGTAAGGAGCATCGCTCATACATTCACCACACATGCACAAGCAAGGAACATAATGACAAGTGGAGGCAATGTTCTGAAAATCACCAGGACGAACCCAGGCCTCCCACTTTATTTACTTCCTTTTTATGATGTTAGTATTGTCTAAGAATGACTTCTGGCATTTTTGGTAATGAAAATAGCTCATATAATTCCTACATATTATGTTTGTTGGTAAAATAATTAATGATAACATAATATTAAAAATTGTGTTCTTTTAACTGAGAAAAGTTCAATTTTATTGTGACAGTACTAAATTTTAACATGAAATTAATGGTGGATGATGAAAAGATAGATGTCATTAAGGAGTAAATAGGAAAAAAAGGAAAAGAATCAGGCTGACTAATTGTCTAGCTATTTTTCAGGCTGACTTGTACAAAACCAGGCCGACTAATCGTCTGGCCTAGCACAACTCATAGAACATTGAGAAGAGGCATTAGAATCTAGGTCGCCAGATTATTTCAGTGTACCTGAAGGAAGCGCTCAAGACGTGCACTGGAATGTTCAGGACCCTGGCCATCATAACCGTGAGGCAGAAGAACAACCAACCCAGTCTGGCGCAACCACTTGGCCTCCCCGCTGCTCACAAACTGGTCAAATATCACTTGAGCTCCATTTGCAAAATCGCCAAATTGTGCTTCCCAAAGTATAAGTGAATTTGGATTTTCCATTGAATAACCCAACTCAAATCCTAAAACACCGAACTCTGAAAGAGAACTGTAAAAAGAGCAGACATTCAGTTTTTTCATTATAACAAATGAGAAACTTCTGAAAAGATATGGCAGATAAAATTATGTTGACATCAGACAGCAAATAGCTGAATGCATGAGGAGAGAGGTGAACTGGAAGACTAATAGTGTTTATCGAAGTGCTGATTTTAAGAAACAGATATGAACTTGGTCATCTTTATTGCTCCCTCTATCCTGAAGGGAGAGTTATGTTTGGCCAAGGTACGACTTTTCAATCATGGTAAAGTAGGATGGTTTAGGCAATGAATTTCTACTTATGTTTTTATATAAATTGTTGGCTTAACAAAATCTATCGTATTTGGAACAAGTGAACAACACAGGAAATACAATGCAACATCAGAACTTCTGTAGTTAGGCATTTAAACTTTAAATGTTAGTGATAGAAAAATGTGGTGCACTGACTCAAGTATTAACCTTTGAATACCACCTCGGTTGACTTTGGGGAACACTTACAGGAATACACTTGAGAAGAAGAAAACTAAAATTGGATGTAAAACAAAACCTCAAATCACCCCAAGCAATTTTTTGCAAAAATATCACCTGTTGCTGACAGTAAACATTTCTTCATTTTGGTCCTTCATAATGTGATCGAGGGGGCAGTACTGCTCTCCTGTCTCTTGATCATGCAGAACAGCATGTCTATGACTAAAAGTACCCCTCTCCACATCTTGACCACTCAATCTCACATGGTTACCTTCCACAAGCAATGTTGCAAAAGCAAGTGCTTCTGCCAGTGCCCAGTCAATACCCTCCCCTGTCTCGATCATCTTTCGCCGTTCATCAAAAATCCTTTTTAATGCTCTGTGTGGCTTAAAATTTTCCGGAAGTGTTGTGATTGCTTTGCCAACATTTGTTAATATCTCTGGCTTCACACTGCACAGAAAGCAAATAACTATAGGTGCTTGTTTGCCAGACTTATAAGAAATGCTTTTCCAAATAAGTAATTCTCTAAAAACATAAAAACCCTACTTTAGTGCTTTTAAAACCTAAAATTGATAATTCTCAAATTAGGAAATATACTATTTCATGTGGAAGAAAGTGTACCCAGTATTTCTAATGCGTGAAAGCTGTTCAGGAGACTTGAATCCTGCCCAAAATGCAGAGAGCCAATCTCTTTTTTGAGGAACATAATCTTTGCTAGAAACGAACTCTTCATTAAGTATAGAATTGATTTTGTTCTGTATCTTATCAATGTCTTCCTTCGTCACATGACCAGATTCTAGAAGTTTCTTCTGATAGATCTCCAACGAAGAAGGATGATTTCGGATGACCTTCCAGAAAACCATAACAAAGATGGACAGTCAGAATTATATCAAGGAGTGTGGACAGTTTTCCTTACATCCAGCTCCTTGGGTCTGTTTGGAACTCAGAAAATACAAGGGAAATAAAATCCTAGTAGGTAGGAAAATAAAGAGGAATGCTGGAAGGAAAGAAAACTGGAAGAACATAAAAATGTAAGCTTAAATTGTCAAACTTCATAAAATTATTTTAGATAATTGTTCAAACTCATTTAATTCATTTGTATCTGTCATTATATAATGACCAGGAAATCCAAACACAGGTAAAATTTTAAAACAAGTTAATGAGTTTCATTTTTCTTGGCATTTTCCGAGGTCAAATTAAGGAAAAAAATTCAGCACTTTTCAGGGTCCAAAAATACTGTTATATAGAGGCAAGCAATGAGTATTATCATGTCTTTAAATTAGACCAAGATTCCAAAAAACTATGGTATGAAAGAGATAAGAGAAAACATCTAACCTGATACATTTTGGGCTGAGTGAAGGACGGTTCATCAATCTCATTATGCCCGAACCGACGGTAACACACTATATCAACCACGACATCGGAATGGAACGTCTGTCGCCACTCAGCGGCAAGCTCACAAACATGCACAACAGCTTCAACATCGTCACCATTTACATGGAAAATCGGAATGTTCAAAGCCTTGGCAACATCGGTACAATACTGAGAAGATCTTCCCGACCTCGGATCGGTAGTGAACGCCACTTGGTTGTTAACCACAATGTGAATAGTCCCACCTATACTGTAATTTGGAAGGGCACTAAGATGCAATGTCTCATATACAACTCCTTGCCCCGCAAAACTACCATCTCCATGAATAAGAACGCCCATGTTCTTCGTCCTATCAAAATCATTGGTGTAATATTGTTTTGCTCTGGTTTTCCCGATCACGACGGGGTCCACAGCTTCCAAATGACTAGGGTTTGCAACTAATGAAAGGTGAAGTCTCTTCCCTCCCCGAGTAGGTCGGTCATAAGAAGTTCCCAAGTGATACTTCACGTCACCGGTGCCAACATACCCGGCATCATCAACAGGTTTCGTACCGCCGCTAAATTCACTAAAAATATGTCGGAGTGGCTTACGGACGACGTTTCCAAGAACATTTAGTCTTCCTCTGTGTGACATCCCTATGACTATATTTTCGACTCCAAGATCAGCTGCCTTGTCAAACATTTCTTTCATACCGGGAATCAACGTCTCACATCCTTCCAACCCGAATCTCTTGGCTGCCGTCCATTTGGTTGCCAAGAAATTCTCAAATTGAGTGCTCCACATAAGACGGTCAAGAATTACTCCACGCCTCTGTTGGTTGAACTCCATGGGTATAGCAGTTTCAATCCGTTCCCTCAGCCAGTTACATTTATCCCGGTCGGGGATGTGCATATACTCGAACCCAATCCTCCCACAATAAGCATGTTCGAGTCGTGACAATATGGATCTCAATGTTTGGACTGGACGGTTGTCAGACAAAAAGCCGGACATCCTCCAAACACCGAGGAAGAATTCACGGTCCATATCGGATTCAGTGAATCCATAACAAGCGGGGTGTAAATCGTCGGGGATCTCTCGTTCTTCTAAATCCAAAGGATCCAACTTGGCTTTCATGTGACCATTTACCTGATATGCCCTCACAAGCAACAATAACCGCATGCTCTCTTGAATAGTTTGACCAGAAATGCCTGGCGATGTGGTCGCCTGGCCCACAAAATTCCTGAAGAAGTTATCCCATGATTCATCAACGCTATTTGGGTCATTCTCCCATGTCCGTTGAAGCTCCTCAAGGTAGACACTGCTCGTCCCGTCTAAAAAACTGTCAGTAAGCTTAGAAAGTGGGACAGCACGGGGAATAGGAGCAGAAGATTGTTGCTTTGAACGGACAACAATTGAGCTGTGAAATTGTCGAAATTGAGAAGAAAGAAGACGTGTTCTTTGAAGATGTGATCCACCATGTGATAAAGCTCTCCTAAGGGAAACCTTTGCCACATTAGATCCAGCTCTAAACCACACCATTGCTTAGCGAAATTGAAGAACTGTCAAAACAAAACTTCTGCAATTAGCCTCACTAATGGTGATAAGGCACATTCTTTATTGATGTCAACCGTGATTAACACACCAAATCAAAATAAACAGAGATTCAAATGTTAACAGCTAAGAAGAATAATAGGCAACCCATAATCCAATGTTTTCATAATATGCAAGTCATGACAGTAACATCAGGTAAGCTTGGTATCAAGAATGAAACTTCTAGAGAAAAATAAATAAATAAACCAAAGCAGCAATGCCTGTAAATATTAAATTAAGAAATGAATTCATTTCATCTAAGAATAACAAGATCATAAATACCGAAGTATATATTTCCTATCCCGTCAAAATCTGTGGTCCATAGAAACGTAAAATCAACGAGTTTTGGTTGAAATGAAAGACAAAAGGGAATATAATTGGGAAGAAAGCAAAAGATGCTGGTTCACGGATCAACCTATTACAGCATGACAATTTGAATACATTCGATGTCAGAGAACAGCTATTTCGAGATTCGGAGAAACGTAGAGTTAGAGCGATACCAGAGAGTTTTGAATGTTCAGATAACCACTGAAGCGGAAGCTCCCATGTCCATAATCGTAGTCTGATGGCTTATAGTTATTAAGCTTGAGTGCTTGGCGACGATACTTGCCTTTTTCATCAAAAGTTGGGTTTCCAGTTTCCTACAGTAAGCGGGTCGGCAACTAGTTGGACTTTTTTCTCCTATAAGCAAATATGAGGCCCACCAACCTATTAGCGGATCGCAAACCATGCAATTTCTATTGGGTCAAAGAATCGATATATAAGAATTTGGGGGGGAAAGTGTGGAACCGTAATCGAGTCGAGACGGATCAGATCCGCTCGGCCTCATAGTGTAGAATCCAAGCGATAATCATCAGGCTCGACCCTACAACTATGAAGCACGGATACTTTCCTAGGGTAGCGTATTGGCGTATCCGATACGTTCCCGTATCCGATACTCTAGGATACTCGTACCGTACGTTCCCGGGCCGTATCTGCAATTTTTAAAAGTTTCCATTTTTTTTTGTAATTTTTTGGAAGTTTCCGATACTCGTATCCTGACGGATACTCATGTCAACTTTTAAAAAAAAACATCCCAAAATTCTGAAAAAAATGAAAATCAAAAACTACATTTTACTTGGTAATCAAATAATGGGCCTATATGGCTATATCCGAATTAAGTCATTAACTCATACTCCGAATTGGGTACTTGCACTTTTAATTTCAAGATTGTAGTTGTTTAACTTATTTAACATTTTAAATTAATGACTTATTGACTACATTTATATTTCGAGATGCACTAGTGTATATGAGAAATATTATGAATTTATTACTAAGTATCTTGAAAAAGGAAAATGTTTCAATGCAATGAATAGGTAGATATCATAAGATATTATATGTGTATATATATATATATATTAAAAAAATCTATTTTTAATATATATAAATAGACCCCTATACCTTTTAATATTTGTAAATACACCCCCATAACTTTTAATATTTATAAATATGGCCCCGTATCCGTATCCTACATTTTTTTGTTTTGACGTATCCCCGTACCCGTTTCCGCGTTTCCGCGTACCGGTATCGGTGCTACATAGCCCTACAACATAGAGCTAGGCTTATGATGAGATTTCGATCTTGGTGTAGGGCCTCGCCCACTGAGTAAATGATTTTGTTGCTACATTGGATCATATTGTTTGGACCCTTGATGTATATGATAATATACTCCATTAATTATTGTCGTTTATTAAAAAAAAATAAAAAAATTACTTCAGGGGGTTTGGGGAAGGGGGTCTGGGGGGCCTGAAGTGATCAGAGTTTATACTCACTCCATTGAGTTTCGAACCAGTTGGGCTGGAATGCTTTGTTTGTTGTTGTTTATTAATATTATTATTGTTATTTTTATTATTATCTTTCTTAAATACTACCTCTGTTCCCCTAAGTTTGGGACAAGAGAAGGTGACACAGTTATTAATAAAAGTGGGTTTATGTGGTTAATATTGAATTGATAAAGTAAGAATAAAGTAGGAATGATTTAGAACCACACAAACTTTGTCAAATAAGGTATGCGACAATCTTAGTGGGACAGACCAAAATAGTAAAATGGGACAATATATATCATAGCGGGATGGAGGGAGTATGTGACAGTAGATCATTGTCTATGCAAACAAAAACAGCCATAGTTAGTATCGTCCTCGTTCATAACTATTTGCACACTATTCAATCCATGTCATGTTCCATACAAAAAATATATATGAATGAATGTATGATATATTTGAACACATTTACAATCTCAGTTAACATGATTCGATATATGTGTCTAGCGGGTTTCGAACTCGAGACCTCCCACTAGGCACGGTATCCTCACAACCAGTTGGGATGGAATGCTTGGTTATGTTGTTTCCTTCTCATACATGTATTAAATTCATTCATAAGTTACAATATCACCCTCTATCCTATAATACAGTTTACATTTTCTCAATCACTTTTTTATTCTTCTCTCTTAGCTAACACATGCAAGTAACAACAATGAATTTCCCTTTCATCACTCTTGTATGTTCTTTTTTAAAAATAAAATAACAAATTTATTCATCGAATGATAGCAACGAAACAAGTAAATGAATAGCTTAAGGCTACAATGGGATGAGGTTTTGAACGGATAAACGGAAAAGATCATATGAATCCTTTCAGATCACTAACCCTACAATACTAACCCTACAATAATGTAATTTAGTTTAACAGTTTTGCTGCACTTGCTACTCCAAATAAAAAAAATAAAAAAAATACAAATCAAAGATTCGGCTTCACCAGCCACCGGAAAGAGAGAAATAATTTGACCAGAAATCAACAAAGGAAACTCTACCGAGTCAAAATTGTCTGAATCATCGGTTTGACCAGGCACTGAAAAGGAGATCCAGCTGAGCTTTTTCTTTTTCCCGGAGCGAGGGTGGTGGTTCCGGTGGAGGTTGAATAATTGAACCTACAGAATAACAAGGTTGGAAAAGCTTTTCCAATCATGAACAACGAAAACTCACCGGATCGATTACACCGATGAGAAATCCACAACCTTTCATGATTGAGATAGATTACTGTGACTGGGTCATCAAAAATGAAGTATGGTGGATAATCTTCTAGCTCAAGTCCATATAGCAAAGGCTTAGTGAGATTTGCCTTTCTGATGTTGTTTTCGAGGGCCATCTGCAGATCATGAGTGACGTGAACTCTGACTTGCCTCAGCATAAAGCGTCTTATTGCTTCATATCCTTCTTTGAGGACTTTATTCTTCGTGATTGATTTATTTCCGTAGACCATTGGCATTTGATAAATGTCGTCCATCTTCAGCAAAAAAAAAAGTCATTCTCGTGGCATGTGAACTCTGTGTCGTCTGTTCTTTGTAGTCTGAAGATGGAGTACTTTATTCTGTGATGGTCACCCATATGCACTTCCAGAATGTCTCATATTGGGTGTGTGCTTGTTGTTATGTCGTGCTTCAGGGCTTCCATCTATTTTCCTGATGATCTATGGTGCAACATATGGAGATGTCCGCCTCTATGTCAGCCTTTCAGACGGGTGAGGCCTCAGACTTTCAGTTCATCCAGCTCTTTGTTCTTGTCTTGTTTACTCCATATGTGCTTCCTTATTTCTTCCTAGAAGGGGGGCAGTGATATTGATGTTCTCCCACAGTTTCTCTCCAGTAGGAGGTAGAGTGACTGTCATCCGAACAATCGTGGGTAGCTTTTCTGGTGGTTTCTTGTAGTCCTCCTCTTCCATGAGTTCTCCTTATTCGAGTCCGATGAGATCCTCAGCGCATCTTTGCCGCAACTCTTTGAGATCCCATCCTCGTTGCATTTCGTACTGATCGACCTCTTGTCGGATATCATCCCATTCTGTCCGTTCCCCGTTCCATCTTTTATCTAGAACAATTTTCTCTAACTCATCATAGATGGACGGGCCTTGTTGTTATGAGGGAGCTTCTTCTGGTTGTGACCTGTGAAAGGTATATCCGGGATCACTTGGATGGGCAGGACCGTATGCAAGATGATCTTTTTGGTAGTATTTAGTATGTCATAAAGCATAAATAAATGTCTATTCCTTAGAAAGATTGATTTAGGCCTTTTATGAAAGCGGTTAAGTAATGGTGATTACCTCCCACAAGACATCAATTCGATTAAGAATAACATTTGTTTGGGCAAGAGCAGCTGGTTGATCGATAAAATTGATAATGGACAATTTTTTAAAAAAGAAAAAGGGTCAAATACACCCTTCTATAATTGCAAATAGGTCACATAAGCTCATGTACTAAAAAAACCATCAAATAAACTCATCTACTCTCAAAAAACAATCAACTAGACCAAAATCTTTAATAGCATGTCACCCTCATTTTTTCTCTCTCATATTTATTTTTCAATTTTATTGCTTTATTTAAAAGGCAAATTACCACCATCTTTCACCCAAACCTGGCCTTACCCAAAAAATTTATAACTCTTCCAGACAGCAAGGGGATTTGAACCGGGCACTAGGAGTGAGGAATCACGGGAGGCATACCAGCTCTGCTACACAGTTTGTTGTTTCCAAGTATACCTTGAATCGTATTTATACTCTACAGGATCACACAATTATTAGTGAAACTACACACATAATACAGTTCATTATATACTAGATTAAATGGATAATAGTCCAAATAGGAATAAAGAAATACATAGGCTATGTTTGGCTAAACAAGCTGAAAAGATCTTTTTTAGACTTTTTAATAACTGTTAGCTTTTTTGAGCTGAAAAGCTTGCAGATGAAAAAGACCGTAGCTGTTTCATAAAAGATGTCTGTTTTAAATAGTCATGTTTGGCACAACTAGCTGTTCTAAGTAGCTGAAATGATAAAATTACAATTAAGGGTATACTCAAAAATTACTACGTATTACATGCACTGATGATGCACATAGCTAATTTTAATTTTAATAAAAAAATAAAGAGTACAATTACAAATTAATAAATGAAATTTGAAAAAAAAAATCAAAGAACACATGGGCTAAGAATAGAGATGGATGAAAGAGTTTGAAAAACACAATCTAAATGAGGAGAAGAGAAGAAGAATACCTGGAGATTTCTTTGAAGAACAATGGAAACAAGAAAAAAAATGCCGTTGAAGAGGAAGAAGGGACTGTGCGCGGCCAGGGTTATGCAAGAAGTAAACGTGCGCAGGGTTATGCGAGAGAATCGGATTTTTTGGAAAAGATCTTTTCTCTCCAACGCTACCTTTGGTAGCATCTCATAAAAGACCTAGACTTCTCAAAAAAGCTATTGGGCCAAACACACAATTGCAGTCTTTTAAGATCTTTTTAAATAATAGAGAAGCTAGAAGCAAGCTATTAACTTTTGTGTGCCAAACATGCTCATAAATGCACAAATAGAACTATACTGTTTATCTATCCAAAATATGACTAAAATATACTTTATCTTCCTGTTCTAAACTAACTAGGTAGTATAAGTTAATAGGAAAATCCTATTTTAATTTAGAATAAAATCGTAAAATATATCAAACATTCAAAAATATTTTTAAAAAATACTAATAAAAAGTAAAAAGTTTAACTTTTCTTAATAAATTAAAACTTAAAAATTAAATAAAATAGACAAAACACATAAAAAAATATAAAAAATATGAAAGCATCTCCCTCAACCTCCGCCGCCTCCTAGCAAAGCCACCTCCTATTAGGTCTGTCAACGGTTCGGGTCCGAGCCGGAACATAATGTTCCAGATCCCAGACCCGCTAAGTTAATAAAGGACCCGGACCAAACCCGTATATCCGACAGATCTGAAAATTTGGACCCGGACCCGGACCAACGTGTCCTGGAATGGGATCTGAAAATAATGTCATTTTGTGTATAAAAAAAAACAAACTGTCATTTTCTTTCTGAAAAATGTCATTAAGATAACATTTTTATTTCTTGAAAATGTTTCATTTTTAGTGGGAAAGTACTAGTTCTTACTACGTATGTTTCTAATATTTGTTTAATACTACGTATTTACTTTTTTTTAATCATAAATATAGAAATTTTTTAAAATTATGTTTTAATTATTTAATAAAATATGAAATGTATTAAGACAAAGCGAGGTTAGGATTCAAAATATAATCCTATTCGGGAAATTTTAAAGTTATATATACTCCTATTATTGCATATAAAGTTTCATTTAATCAAATTTGAGAAATTCTCCCTAGATTAAATTTATATGATAAAAATTACTCTCGTTCAATTTTTTTATAAAAATAAAAATAAAAATAATAATGGGCCCAAACGTACAATTTTTCCATAAAAATAAAAATGTGTTTAAAATTGGATAGATAACATGTGAAAGTAATATTTATATATTAAAATTATAGATAATATTGATAAATGTTTTGAATATTTCACAAATACTCAGTTCGTAGTTTATTAGTAAAATATAATAATAGCAATAAAATAGTTATTATTGTAATTACAAATTTATTATATTTAATAATAAATGTGTGATCTTTACAATGATAAATATGATGAATACTTTTTTTAGAATCGGTAGGCTTGAGAGAGAAAAAACGAGGGTGACCTGCTATTAAAGGTTGCCTTTAGGTATTTTGGGCTAGTTGATTGTTTTTTGATAGTAGATAGGGTTTATTTGATGCTTTTTTTTAGTACATGGACTTAACTGACCTATTTGCGATTGTAGAAAGGTGTATTTGACCCTTTTTCCTTTAAAAAAACATAGATGTTTTTTATGATAACAAGAAGTAAAAAAGCTACTTGTGCTATAAAATATTAAAGTTATCAAAATAACCCAATCACGTTCCACAACAACCCCATAGCTAGTCCAAAAATTCTTTCAACGGTCTCACTACAAGTGCAACAAACCATGGCTGAAAAATAACGCACAATTAGGATGTAGCATGGAAGTCATGAGTATGAATGGTCACACCAACTACACGTCAACAATCGAACAAACGATGACATAAGAGAAGTGTGCTTACAGGCGTTTTTTAGGTGATTCATGTTTTCAGAAGAATGGCCAAGAACTAGAGAATTCGTTGGTCCTACTTGCCTCGTACAAATACAAGTTATGACCTATCACCATGAGACAGTAAAACTATGTTCACAACCACAACAAATTAAAATAATGGCATGCTCTAAGAGGTGATCTTGTAAATTCTAAGCATTTGCATCATAAGTTCTTTGCAATTCCTCTCTACTTGTTTTAGTCGAGCTCAAATTATGATTTTAAAATAAAAAATCATAATTAAACGGTATCTTTTTTTCGCCGGTGAAAAAACCACCAATCAATGGGGTAAATGCCGGGGAACATTTACCGAGTTTTATTATTTAAAAGTGAAATACAAAATGAGAGAGAATTCTCAAGAAAGGCATACCTTTCTAAAATACAACAATAGCAAATTGGCAATATTTAAGAGAACGATTAAAGCTAGAGACAAATACATTAACTCCTAAAAAAAGGAACTCCTGAAGCATCATATTTAGGATGAATAAGCACAGATCTCGAAAGTTCACTTTCCGAAGTGTACTGTAAGAAAATTGGCATCCGTAGCTGTTAGGTCCCCTAGATTTTGATTATTAATATGTTATTGTTTTGATTATGCCACCCCTTTTTATGTTCCCTGTATTAGACTAGATTCTTGTTATGTTCTTCCATTCTACCAATGTTTATTATAATGTGCTCCTATATTAGTGATAAAGTACTCAAAGAAAAGCAAAGAGTACTAAAAGAGAAGAAATGTACTAAAAAAAAAAAGAAAAGAATAAAAAAAAGGTACGAAAAAGAGTTAACTGGACTTCATTGAAAACGTAAGCCAACTAAAAAACCAGAAATCGGCAGCCTACTGAAACTTTGGAGCCGATTGAAATACTGGTTTTCCAGCTAAGACATGTGAAATCAAACTAACTCTTCTCTTAGCACAAAATCAATTAAACAAAGGACCAACTTGCAGTCAAAATAACAAATTGATAGAAAGTAATTTCATAAGAGATTTTTATCACATTATAAATTTCTTATAAAATTATTTTGCTAAAAGCAAGTAATTGTTATTTGTAAGGAAGCACTGAACTTCACTCAGCTTATATACTAAATTTCAACAAGCAAAAGAAATAAAGATAATACATCTTTATCTTTGCATTGAGAAGAGGAATCAAGTTGAGTTGAGAATTTGGCCCGTGTTACAAGAAGACAAAAAAACAAATTATGCTGCCCCAGTCAAGTGGAACAAAGCAAGTAGATCAAGCAACAGTGAAGATTGAGCTCCTCAGCCAAGGGTGGAGATTCGACAACAAGTCTATAAATACAGAAGGAGTGCGGGAAGAAACAAGTGGAAGAGCCAAGTGGAAAAGAAGAGAATCAAGATTCACACGAAGACATCAACCAGCTGATCCCCCTTCACCATTTTGATTCTCATCCCACTCGTCTAATGTTTTTTGATCAGTTATAATTCATACAAACCTATAAAGTTTAGATTAGTTGGTAGTTTAGTTTTCACTTATGTAAACAGACTAATGTTAGACATTCTTGAGGGCTATGTGTTCAAATCCAGAAAGTGAGAAAGGGAAAGGACATAAGTAGCTCTTGGCAAGTCAATGTCATTAGTGAAAAATCTTGGGAGGACTGAGTAGCTAGCTTGGAATGGTGTTCTAATTCCTTGTGAAAAACCTCACAATCTACGCCTGGGCCAAGGGTAGATTGGGCACTAAATATAATGAGATATTCATTTAGTGGAAATCCAATTAAAAGAGGTTGCGACTGTATGTAAGAGGATTACAGCACCTCTGAACCATGATATATCTTGTGTCATCGTTTATATTCAACTCCCATTACACACTACAGTTCTCACTCGCCTTCACAACTTCACAGCAAAACAATTTAGTCACTAAAACTCTCCTATGAACTTTCCACTTCATTATGAATCAACTCTTTGTTTCTGTTCATCAAAGTGATCTATTTCTATAAGTCTAAATCCTTCATACTTATGTGTTAAGACGTGTTCTAAAGCCTATCAATGTGTTAGAGTATAGTTCATTGATATACCTTAACCTTTGAAGCAACAACTCATTTTGGCAGCCTGCTCCTAAATGTTTTGGCAGTCAGCTCCCAATTCTGGCAGCCAGCTCCTTCGGGTTTGGCAGCTTGCTCCTAGAGTTAGCTGATTCTGGAAAACACATATGAACATTGTTTCATCCATCTCCTCACAACTAAAAGGGTCATAACCTTTGTTACTATAAAGTGTCACACTTTTGAGGTCAAGACTCCCGCTGTATGTTTCAATATCTTGACGTGAATCAGGGAAGGAAGAGAATTCTGTATATTGATTCTACTGAATAATTACATGGCTAAGTATTTATAGAACTTACAAGGAGGCAGAATAGGGAAAAGATATTTACAAATATCTGGAAATCAGGGAAAGATATCTACAATCCCTGAAAATTAGGAATTATTTAAAACATATTTTCTTCAACTATTTCTTGCCTAAAATATCTCTCAACACTCCCCCTCAAGCTGAGGAATGAATGTCATCCATTCCCATCTTGGATACTATCTCATGAAAAAAGGACCATTTAATCCTTTCGTCAACACATCAGCTAATTGATCTCTCGAGGGAACGTAGGACATACAAATGATTCCTTCTTCCAACTTCTCCTTGATGAAGTGTCTGTCGATCTCAATGTGTTTTGTCCTATCATGTTGAATAGGATTATGAGCAATGTTGATTGCTGATTTATTATCACAATAGAGCTTCATAGGTTCCTCCCACTTGACCCTCAAGTCTTTTAAAATAATCTCCAGCCAAAGTAATTCACACATCTCTTGAGCAGTAGTGTAACACTTGAGATTAATTTAAATGGATTAATAGTGATACTCATACCAACAAGATGCATCTCCTTTTAAGGGAACTCATCACCAAGAACTCCAAAGTTAAACGTGCTTGCATGGGAGTAGTTCTGGGATGGGTGACCCCCTGGGAAGTTTCTCAGGGCACGCACGAGTGAGGACAAAGTGTGCGGAAAAGGCTAGTGGTGGTTTGTGAGGACAGTACTAGAGATCTGGAGGGTGTGTGGAGTAACTATCTCGGGTCCCACGGGGCCGGGGTGTTACAAGCAGCTCGAAATTCAGCTTCTGCAGATGATCTTGCCACAAACATTATGCCTTTTGCTCCTCCAATTTATCAAGTTACCACCCAGAAACGTACAATAACCAGTTTTCGATCTTCTATCCACAATTGAACCTGCATTATCCGAATCTGTGTAGTTCTGGGAGTAGTTCTGGGATGGGTGACCCCCTGAGAAGTTTCTCAGGACGCGCACGAGTGAGGACAAAGTGCACGGAAAAGGCTAGTGGTGATTTGTGAGGACAGTTTTAGAGATCCGTAGGGTGTGTTGAGTAACTATCTC